AGCTGCAGGCCGCGCCCGGACCCCGCGAGCGGCTTCCCGGCTCACCAGACCCCTACGCAGTCGTCCCTCACCTTGGCCAAGGAGCAGTACACGCGACTCCAGCTCTGCATTTTCCCTCAGTACCTTCCCTTCCGCCACCGATTTCACCTCCGCTGAGCGCCGCCACCACTTTTCCAAGGTCTCCCCGCCCTGCGCATGCGCAACCACTATTTACGACAACGACCCGAAGCGGCGCGATTGGCCCGCATGGTCCGGGCGTTCAGGTCACGTTCGTGTCGTGCACTGTCCTAAAGACCGAGAGTCGTGCTTTGCGGCAGCAGAGTACTACGCGACCCTTTTAAGGGGTGCTGTCAAAACGTCCGATGTTGCAATGTAATTTTATGTTGGGCAGACGAGGTAAAACTATTATTTGCTCATTGCAGGCTGCAGAAAATAAAGCCTGAGAAATCCACAAGCTCTTGGTTGTACTTGGCGAGTGCACTAGCACTTGCCAGAGGCAGTATCTCACTGTACAGCAACCAGAGGTTCAACAAGCAATGCCTAAAGGTCTCCGAAGGTAGAGGTAACTGCAGCCCCGAGGACAAAGCCTTTGCTCTTAACTACCGCGTTGTAGTGTGGGGCCCTAACCGCTGTGTAACCCCTAGTTAGCCAGCATATAGCAGCACACATTTCTTTCTACCCAGCTCCAAGATAAGATTGAAACAGTGTATGGAAGCCTGGTACGGGCAAACAAGACGGCGACTCTAGGCCTCGTTAGAACAGAACAGCCTGAGTCTGGAGATGAAAGGCCAGGTTCACCGTATAGTTGACTCCTTTAGATAGATGGCAGAAAACCGACCCCCTGACCCCTGGCCCACTTGCTGTACTTGCAGTCCTCTTCCCTTGCCTTTAAAAAACTGTGCTAACCCTGTGCGGGGCCTCTCTGAGATGCTCAGTTCTGGGAGTGCCGTCTGACCAGACTAATAAAGGTGTTTTCCAAGTAGTCCGGTGTGTTCCTTCCTGGGTGACTCTCTTTCCCCCATCGAGCTCCCGGAGCCTCGCTGAGCTATAGGTCCCAGCATCTTGGGGGCCCTCTGGGCTGTTCAAGGCTCCCGGAAGTAAGGCCCTGGGTCTTGCATCCGGAGCCATCCTTGGGCTATAGGACTCAGCATCATGAATGCCCTTTCGGCTGTTCACGCTGCTCCGAGTGGAAGTGAGACTTTAGGTCTTACAGTAGTCTCTCCTGTCATATTAAAGTATGGGACCACAGACTTGCATCATCACCAACACCCTGCTTTAATGGCAATGTATAGGGAACGTTTCTCGTTCTTTAGTTGGGAAACACCTGTCTTGCGCAGCAAATTGAAGGATTAAGTGGTGATTGAGATTTTAGATTTTCGAAAGAGTAATAGATGTAAAAGTGTCGGAAAGCATTGTCTTCAAGATTGAGCAGAGAGCTCTAAGGTCTGATTCTCGCTTTGTGATAACTTTGCTGTGAATAATTTTTGTATTTCATGAAAAGTTAGCGCCCAAGCACTGTACTAAGATCTGAGGACTTCGTTTTAGGGGAGAAGACACACATGATACTTACTGTTTGTTATAGACACTACTAGTTGTCACCCAATATCCATTCTCCCTTTTTATGTAGTAGAATGTTCTATACAGCCCAGAATAGGACCTCATGCAGCAACTACAGCCATATGATCAAATACTGTACTAAGCAATGTCTTTCCTCATGCAATATTATTTTATTAATTTATGTTAAATTATTTCTGATAGCTAGGTGCAGTGGTACACACCTGTAATTCCAGCACTCAGGAGGCTGAAGCAAGAGGATCATTTCAAATTAGAGGCCAGCCTGGGCTACCTAGTGAGTTCAAGGCCAGCATGGACTAAATAAATGAATAAATATTCTGATAATCCTTATTGTAATGTCCTTAAAATGTGTCTAAAAATTATATGATACTCTCCCATCAAAAAGTAGACACAATCCTGCCTTCTTGTGAATATGGACTAACTTTAGGGTAATGCTTATAATGGATAGAGTGCAACAGAAATGACACTAGCTGACTCAGGTTAGAATGTAAGCAGTAATGTGTTGTGAGGCCATGAGCTCAGTTTGTACAGAATTAGTTAATTCAGTAGAGCACTTTCCTAACGTGTGAGAGCCTGGGTTCAATTCCCAGAACTGCCAAAAAAAGAAAGAAAAAAGTCTAGACTGGTATTTTGTGGCCACTCCTCCCTGTGAGTCCCCCAGACTCTTTTTGTCTTGTGAATTCTGCCAACATCCAAATCAGCTTTGCATTCCAAGATGGCTCCCTTCATTTCTGCCATGATGTAACTGAAGGAAAATGTAAACCCTCCAGCATCACTGGTTTCTAGTTGACTTCAGAATTAACTTAATTTTAGAGGCCATGCAGCTGAGCAACATACTATTAGTCTCCCACAAGTGGGCTCCCGATGACACCCGTGACTGAAGCTGCCTAATGGGTTAAAACTGGTGTCCTTCACTATCTCCCCCTGTTCCCTGGCCACAGATGCCTTTTATACCTTGGTGATTAACTGCAAGGTTAGCAATTACTGGGAAAAGGAACTAACAAGGTGTGAGATTTTAAATTTTCCAATCACTAACTTTTCTCTAGACTTACAAATCCATGACTTCTGGTGGTGTTAGGTGACATCAATTTATGGACCAAGGATTTGCTAATCTTGTTCTTTAATTAAATGTCAGACAATGTTTAACTTCCGGGAAAATATGTGTTTGTCCAAATATTATACAGACTGACCCAGGAGATGGAAGTGGATTTATCTCAGGGATATTCTGGTGAGAGAGAGGGAGAGAGAAAGAACCAAGCCCTGGATGACAAACACTTTGCTCCCCACTATGACTTCCTGTTCATTGTCCCCCTGCCTCCTTCCCTTCCCTATAAAAGCACTTTGCACTCAGAGCTCCCTAAGGTGGTCTCTGTAGGCAGTAGCCCCTGTTTTCTTTGGTTTGCTGGCTTCCCAAATAAATCTTTTGTTATGTTTTGGTTTTTTGAGACATGGTGTCACTGTGCAGTTCAGACGGGCCTTAAACGCACTGTGCTGCCGAGACTGGCCTTGAACTCACATTGATCCTCCTGCCTCAACCTCCAGAGTGCTGGGATACAGATGTGTGCCACTGTGCCCAGCTCCCAAATAAATCTTTATCCTTACCCAACAACTAGTCCCACGGTCATTGGCCCTTAAGTGCCAGTCAATGGCCGGGGGCCATTAACAGTCGTATCCTCGTCCCATCTGGTGACAAACCTGCATCTAGCTGAAGTGGGATTTGGAAGCACAGTCAGATCACCCTAGTGCACCATCAAAATCATGTTAATGAAGAAGGGATGAGCAGATGTTGGGGGTGATGAGCAGCCCCACTGCACGGATGGGAGAGCTGCTTTCTCCCAGCCTCATGCCAGACTTTGACATCTGAAACCAGTCTTTCCTGACCTGTTCTGTGGCTTTTCACCTGTACCCCTCTGCCTAGAATTATAACATCCACCAAGTCTAGTTCAACCTAGGATGACAGTAAGATACAGACTCCTATTATACTCACCGCATCCCTCCACACCCTTCTACCAACTGTGCCTCTTCTCAGCTAAACAAAGATCAGCGATGGAAAACCACCTTGGGGGTGAGGGAGGCCCATAGGCATGTGGATATTCCAGGCAAAGCAGTCAAAAATTAGGTCATAATTATTTTTGCTAACTTGATTTTTTTCCACTGAAAACTATTTCATGGGCAACGTTCTAATGATTGTATAATATTTTGGGTGGTGTACACACATTTAAGTGTTCCCTAGTATGAGATATTTAGGCCATTGTGATTCTTTAGTGTTATGAACAGCTTGTAGCTAGATCTTTGCTCATTTTTTGTTTGTTTGTTTGTTTGAGACAGGGTCCCACTGTGTAGTGCAGGCTGGTCTTGAACTGACTAGCCTCAAATTCACAGCAATCCTCCTGCCTCAGCCTCCTAAGTGCTGGGATTACAGGGCTGCACCAATATACCCAGAAGTCTTTGCTCACTGTTCAGAAAGTCAATTCCTTGCATTAAATTTCTGGAAGTAGAATTTCTACCAGAGAAATAATGCATTTAACATGTACAGGTGCAAAAATTCCCTATGATGCGTGTTAGGATCATGTATACCTAAAATGTACCAATAAATGTTTTGCTATAAAAAAAGAAATAATGTATTTAAAGCTTTTCATACTGCATCTCACTTTTTGGATTCCTAAATGAATCAGAAGTTCTAACCAACAGTTCCAAATGTTCTCCATTAACTTAAAACAATTAATGGAAATGAATTATTTGTAAGTGCAATAAGTCAGACAAATAAAATATTTCAAAACATGGCTTTGCAACACACTGCCTTTGCTGGTGTAAGAAGAACAAACCTGTTAAAGATGGCAGCCTGGATGCCACGGATTCCTTGGGCACAATTGATGGTAGTGTCACAAGCATGTGGATTCTGCAGTTGGATCTGCTTGGCACTTGCTCCTCCACTTAGCAAAGAAACATGGAACCTTGGGAGCATTTCTTAGCTTCTCTGAGAGTCAGCTCTACTAAGGGTAGTGCAAGGGACCAGTTCTCACATGCAGGCTGCGGTAAGCATGCAAAAGTCGATGTCTGCAGTCAGCATTTAACCAGTGTTGATTCCCTCTCCGAGCCCTTGCTCCGTCTTGTCGCATTGAACCTTAATTCTTTCTTGATGTGGTGTCAGACTCAGTAAGTCTTCCAGGAATTGTATCTTCATAGTACTAGTAGACAGCTTGGGTACACTTACACAGCAGCCACAGCTAAGTGCTACTTCCAGGAAGAGCACAGCAGGGACTCTAGCCTTTCAGTGCCCTCCACTGACTCCTCTTCCTCTAGTTTCTTAAACATCCATGTTTCATGGAAAACTATTTTTTTAAATATATATATATTTTTGGTATTGGGATCAAACTCGGGACCTTGCACTTGCAAGGCAGGCAGCAGAACCACTGAGCTAAATCTCCAGCCCTAAATTTTATTTTATTTTACCCCCCCCAAGCCTCCTCTCCTTCCTATGTACGAAGCTTTGATGGAAACTATTTTTAATCTCCTGTTCTTCCACGGAGCATGAGCACTTGGGCCATCTCACCCATTTTCATGGTTTGAGCTCCTACCTACATGTTACTTATCTGCTTTTTTGAGACAGGGTCTCACTATGTAGCTCAGGC